AAGTAAACACAGGGGCCTGGTGTCCCTTTCTAGATGACTACCAGATGTCACTCACCAGGATTTTGGCTTGGGCACCTCTTGATCCTCGTAGAGCTGTTCCAGTTCCTCATTTTTCTTTCTCAGATACTGTCCAGGGGAAGGAGTTAGAAGAAGGGCCAGGCCCAGTCAATGATTCATTAACAAGGACTTCCTGGGGATATGTGCTGGGGACACTGGTGAGCAGAGCAGACTGGCCTCTGCCTTCCAGGAGCACACAGTCAACGGGATGGCCAGATGGACAGAGGAGGCCTATTTTCCCTCTCCCTACCCCTATTTCCCTTCTCACTGCCCTTTTCACTGTTTTCACTGGGCTGGAGACAGGAACCTGGCATCTCCTGGGGACAGCTTCTGGGGATAAGCCAAAGCCTCCGCCACCTGGAGGACTACAGTGGAGCCCCACTCACCTCCCGATCAGGGATCACAGAACTCTGGTGGCTGACCACAGCCCCAATCTGGCTGCTCTTGGGGCGGGAGTGGAAGTAGCACTCAGCCTCCTCCTCCGGCAGCTTCTTCACAGGGCCTTCCACACGCACCTGCTCAAGGATGGCTCTGGGTGAATGGCGTTCAATGCCACCTGCCCTCCCTACCAGCACAGGCCCTATTCCTCTCTATTCTATCGGCTGTCCCACCACTCTTGGCTCCAGCTAACTGAGGGCTATTATAGAGGCAGAGTGCCCAGCTGGGATGTTTGCCCAGTCTGGGGACCTTCACTAGACTTAGCCATAAACTCAGGCCCTGCCAACCCAGCCCATCCCAGGCTGTCCTGGGAAAATTCACTCACCTGACGGTTAAGTGGCTCCCAGTAGAAGACAAGGGAAGCAAAGGGATTCGAGTCCTAGAAGTAAAAGAGAATCCACAGCCAGTCATCAGGATAGGGAGAGGAGGCCTCCGGCATGCAGGGAAAAGGCAGGAGAGCTGTAGTGTGCAGGCCCACAGCAGATGCATCCACTGTATGAGCTCATTTAAACCCTCAAAAGTAGGCCTATTGTCACAGATACGGAGACAGGCTAAGTCACATGCCCAAGTTCCTGCAGTAAGTGGTGGAGCTAAGTTTAAGCCAGTCAGACTCCAAAGTGAGACTGGGTGATTTCTCTCACCCACAGATTTGCGAGTCTTGAGAAATGCATGTTTGGCTGGCATGGACTCAGGGAGGTTTACTCACTTTGGATTCATTCACTGAATGCACACGAAGTGCTTACTCTGGGTCTGACAACAGAAGACATGTGGGGGATACAGCAGAGATAAAACACAGCATCCTCCACTCCTGCAGAGCTTACTGTTCAGCAGAGGAGACAAATATCAGTTACATAATCACCCAAATAAAAGCTTAGTTACAAACTGAAGAAAATGATAAAAAGGAAAGTTGCAAGTTATAATGGCAGCAAACAACATGAGGGGCTGAGTCTGAGTCAGAGTCAAGGAAGGCCTTCCTGAGGAGGTAACATGTGGGCTGAGATCTGAAGGAACAGGTGATGGCTGATGGGGTGAGGTTGGTTAGAAAGTGCATTCATTCATTTATGGCAAAGAGCACAGCAAGTGCCAAGGCCTCATGGCAGGAGGGCACCTGCAGAGAGAGAGCAAGTAGACTGAGGGGTGGGGTAGCATGAGAAGGTGACTGAGGAGGAAAGGGCCAAATCCCACAGGCCCTGGGAAAGATTACCAGCTCTTTTCACACACCAGCTCTTTTCCTTTTCGACTCTCGAAGTTAGTGAAGAAGCGGAAGCCATCTTTCCCAAAGCCCTTCAGTAGCAACATGCGAGCAGAGGGTTTTCCATCTCTAGGAGCAAACAGCAGAGCACTGTGGTCAGAGCCTGCTTCAATGTTCTGGCTACAGTCCCTCTCCCCAAAAGATGTCTCAGCACCCCCTCCAGCTGTACCTCCTTTACTGGGCTGTTAGGCTGGGGCCCCCTCCCATGTGCTCCTGGGGGTTTGTCCTAGAGGTATGACACCACAGCCTAGGGCCCTGTTATGGACTGAATAGTGTCACCCAAAACCGCTGTGTTAAAGCCTTAAACCTCAATGTGACTGTATTTGGAGACAGGGACCTTATGGAGGTAATTAAGGTTAAATAATAAGGTCATGGGGTGGGGCCCTAATCCAATAGGACTGGTGTCACTGTAAGAGAAGAGGCACTTTAGAACCACCTCCCTTGTCCCCCACAACACACACAGGAAAGGCAGTATGAGGACATGGCAAAAAGCAGCTGTCTGCAAACCCCAAGCAGAGGCCTCACCAGAAACCACCCCTGATGGCACCTTGATCTTGGACTTCTAGCCACCAGAACTATAAGGAAATAAACTCCCGTGGTTTAAGCTATCCAGTCTACAGTATTTTGTTAAGGCATCCCTAGTAAACTCATAAGACCCTAAAGGCAGGGACTAACAATAATGCAATCATCCAATGCTTCGGGATCACAGTGGTGCTACGAGATCAGCTCCTCTGCTCAGAGGTCTGGGAAATATCCACTTGTACAGTACAAGAGCGCTGGCTTCAAGGCCTTACACTTTAGCAAGGAGAATTGAATAATAGGCTAATACAAGTGATGTCTCAAAGGGCATATGATTGTCAAAGGAATGATATAGTCAAGTACTGTGCTAGATTTCGAGAGAGAGACAGAGCTTCACCAGAAGTAGCTCCTGAATGACAGACGAGGCTTGGGTAGATGGGGAGATGAGGGAGGCAAGGGGTTGCTTGTGGATATATCAAGGGCAGAGATGAACAAGCTACTGCATTTTTTTTTTTTTTTTTTTTTTTTGAGATGGAGTCTCACGCTCTGTCCCCCAGGCTGCAGCGCAGTGGCACAATCTTGGCTCACTGCAATCTCCACCTCCTGGGTTCACGCCATTCTTCTGCCTCAGCCTCCCGAGTAGCTGGGACTACCCACCCGGCTAATTTTTTGTATTTTCAGTAGAGACGGGGTTTCACCGTGTTAGCCAGGATGGTCTCGATCTCCTGACCTCATGATCCACCCGCCTGGGCCTCCGAAAGTGCTGGGATTACAGGCGTGAGCCACCGCGCCCAGTCTAAGGCATTGCATTTTTATCACTGAAATATAATTTTGTGTTCTGGTCTTTGGTTTATAGGTAAGGACACAGGCCCAGAGAGGACAAGCATCTCATCTAAAGCCACACAGCACATTAATAACAGAGCTGGAACCATAAAGTTGGCATCCAGAGTTGAGAGCTTCATAAGCTTCCTAGTTCATATGTATCCACCCAAAGAGGGGCCCACAGCCATGCCCACCTGGTACAGGTAGCCAGACACATGGCATTTGCTTCCCCTATGTCAGGACACTGAACAGCCTCCTCAAACCAGGCAGCAAACTGTTTCAGTGGGTCAAGGGAGGTCAGATGAGTCTCCTCAAATGCCTAGGAAGGGAGATTTATTCCATTTAATAAACATATATAGTGCTTACTAGGTACCTGGCACTGTTCTAATCATTTTTCAAATATCAACTCATTTAGTCCTCATGACAGTGACCTTAAAATAAAAAATAGTACGCAGTAAGAAGAATCTGTGCCCCATTTTACAGGTGAGGAAACAGGCATAAAAAGGTCAGACAACTTGCTGTCCCACAGCTAGTGATGGATAAATCAGGGTTTTCATGTCATGGGTAATCAAAACTGTCTGTGCATCAGAATCACCTGGGGAGCATAAAAAAAACTTTCTGGGCTCCACCCCCATAATTTCTCATTCAGCAGGTCTGAGGCTTAATCAAAAACTGCATTTTTATTTACTTATTTGCTCGACTAATTTTAGTTTTTTGTAGAGACAGGGTCTCACTATGTTGCCCAGGCTGGAAAAACTGCATTTTAAACAAGCATTTCTAGAAATGACCACATGCAACCAGATTTGGCAACCAGGGCCCTGGACCCCAACTCCTAAAAGGTTCTCTTGGTTCCCCTCCTGTGAAGGGAAAAGGAAAAGAACTTCCCAGTGGTCAGCAGAAAGTACTGAAGGCAGTAAGCTAAGAGCTTTCTCCTCTCCTCCTACCTGAGGTTTGGGTGACCCCCAAACCTCCTTGCCCCAGGGGGTGGCCCCAGAAGCCCTGAGAGGCTGGTTCCTCCTACTCCCCTCCCCCTAGTAGATGACTCCGAGGACCACTCTTCCCCCGCCCTTGAGGGAGGCCCAGCACTGTCCTGACATCCATCACATGAAACCCTGATTCATCCATCACTAGCTGTGGGCCTGAGCAAGTTATCTGACCTTGCTACCTGTCGAGTAAGCAGGGTTCTAAGCACTTTACAAACATTTAAGACCATAACATCCCCGTAAGGCAGGTACTATCACTTCCCAGATGAGGAAACTGAGGCCCAGAGACACTAAGGATTCCAGCCCAGGCAGGCTCCAAAGTTCGAGCTCTCACCCATTACGAAAGACTGCCTTTTGAACCCATTTCATTTGCGTTTTCCCGGAACTCCTCCCCCGGTGGGATGTCTTTGAAGCCCCCTTTTCCCACTGGGGGTGATCCCCAAACCTCCTTGCCCCACCGGGTGGCCCCAGAAGCCCGGAGGGGCTCCTCCTACTCCCCGCCCCGCTGTAGATGACTCCAGGGACCCCTTTTCCCCCGCCCCTGCAGGAGGCCTGGCCCTGGCGGCGGCACCTCTCGGTCCCCGCGGTAACTCTTGCGCATGGGTCCCAGGTCCATGGCAGCACTGCGACCACGCAGGTGACGGAGGTAGCCTGGCCACTCGGCAGGTCGCCCGAACGTCGCTGTGACGCCCCGCAGCCGGCACGTCATGGGGGCCGCCGGCCACGTGACCCGGCTGTGGCCCGGCGCTGGGTTCCTTTGAGTTCGGAACCAATTTCTCACCCTGGACTTCTACCCCGGGGAAGGAAGGATTTGCTAGTCGTCCAACCAAGCTAACAGGTCCTAAATCCTCGGAGCCAATGAGTTTCCAGGATCGGAGGAGGGAGACAGACATGGAGAGGTCATTGGTTGGAGCTTTTCGGTAGCAAGGCCAATTAGAGCGAGAACAGAGAAACCCAGCGACCAATGGGTAGCGCCTTTGGGGGCGGGAGCAGAGAGACAAGGAAATGCTGTCACCGCCGTTAACACGCACGTGGAGGTTGGTTAAAGGTATAGGAGGATCTCCTGCAGCTCAGGCGGGGTGGAGGATGTGTCCCGGGGGCTTGAGAGGAGTAGTCAGTATTAAGTGGCTGGCCCATAGTAGGTGCCTGTAGGCGAACTTAGGGCAGGAAGTACCCCTTGGGAAGGGAGACTAGTGGAATGGGAAAAGAAAAATGGAAAATGGAATTAGGGGCCAGACTCTGAAGCAAGGTGATGGGGGCACATAGAGAAAAGGGTAATCTGGTTGTGGGGAGGAATTAGGGCATGAGAGTGGGAGAGGTTGAAATGACTTGTGGACCATGCCCCGAGTGGGGAGGTGCAGTGGGGTTAGGAAGAGACGGTGAGGTGAGAAGGAAGATGGCTTTGGGAAGGTCACAAAGGAAATTTGGTACCAAGGTTTCCCAGACCAGAGTGGTTTTCCTCTTCTAGTTTTGTTTTTGTTTTGTTTTGTTTTGTTTGAGACGGAGACTAGCTCTGTCACTCAGTTTGGAGTGCAGTGGCGCGATCTCGGCTCACTGCAACTTCCACCTCCCGGGTTCAAGCAATTCTCTGCCTCAGCCTCCCGGGTAGCTGGGATTACAGGCGCCTGCCACCACGCCTGGCTAATTTTTGTATTTTTAGTAGAGACGGGGTTTCACCATGTTGGCCAGGCTAGTCTTAAACTCCTGATCTCAGGTGATCCACCCGCCTCGGCCTCCCAAAGTGCTGGGATTATAGGCGTGAGCCACCGCACCCGCCACCTCTTCTGGTTTTAAACCCCCTCCCTCCAACCTCATTTATTTAAGCAAGGGTCAGAGTACTTTGCTCCCTTTGCTCATGGTTTCCCCTGCAACGGTGCATTGGAGTTCATAGGAGCCAGTGACCTGGTAGATGGCGAGGCTGCCAATGTCCCATCTCTCCAGGGCCTCCCCCATCTTTGTCAAGCTTCCCTTTTTCCACATTTTGCCCTTGCTAGGTAGTAGGAGTCTAGCCTCTAGGTCAATGCAAGTAATTGCCAAGTGAGAGTACACGGAGCAGGTGGCTGTGAATAGCCCTTCCAGGCTGTGGATGCAAGGCTGAAAAATGGGAAACCCACTCGTGCCCAGTCCAATTCTGACCTGGCTGGGGCAGCCTTGGGTCGAGACCTCTCTGTAGCCCTGCTTTCCACCAGCATCAGGAAGGGGAACTGCAAGAGCCATCTAGGCAGGCACCCAGGACTGTGCCAGGTAAGGGGAACTTCCTGGCCTGGCCAGGTGTCTGCATTACAGCTGAGCTTCATGAAGCCCTACATTAGATACCTGTCATCCTTTATGTGTACATAGCTTGAGCCAGATAGAATCTGGAAGACAATTTTGCTGCAAAATAATAATACATGTCTCAAAACTTAATGATATTGGTCTATGGATTCTCCACTGGTTGAATTTTTTTGTGCTGCCGTCATTTTGCTCCATCAGCATAATTGAGAGGAAGCTGACTAGATTTACTTTCCTGTTGAAGTTATCTTTCTTTCTTTCTTTTTTTTTTTTTTTTTTTTTTGAGACAGAGTCTTGCTGTGTCGCCCACGCTGGAGTGCAGTGGTGTGATCTTGGCTCACTGCAAGCTCTGTCTCCCAGGTTCAGGCCATTCTCCTGCCTCAGCCTCCCGAGTAGCTAGGACTACAGGCGCCTGCCACCACGCCCGGCTAATTTTTTGTATTTTTAGTAGAGACGCGGTTTCACCATGTTAGCCAGGATGGTCTCAATCTCCTGACCTCGTGATCCACCCGCCTCAGCCTCCCAAAGTGCTGGGATTACAAGCGTGAGCCACCACAGCCAGACGTAGTTGTCTTTCTTTTTTTCTTTTTTTTTTTTTTTGAGACGGAGTCTCGCTCTGTTGCCCAGACTGGAGTGCAGTGGTCGGATCTCAGCTCACTGCAAGCTCCGCCTCCCGGGTTCACGCCATTCTCCTGCCTCAGCCTCCCTAGTAGCTGGGACTACTACAGGCGCCCACCACCTCACCCGGCTAGTTTTTTGTATTTTTTAGTAGAGACGGGGTTTCACCGTATTAGCCAGGATGGTCTCGATCTCCTGACTTTGTGATCCGCCCGTCTCGGCCTCCCAAAGTGCTGGGATTACAGGCTTGAGCCACCGCGCCCGGCCGAAGTTGTCTTTCTATACAAGAACATTGCTGTACTCCCGCCCTCTTAAGCCCCTGCAGTTAAACCTGTGTAAGCAGAGTAATGAGTGCACTTCAACTCAGGATGGGTTTTGTTCATGGGTTTTTTTTTTTTTTTTTGAGACGGAGTCTTGCTCTGTGCCCCAGGCTGGAGTGCAGTGGTCGGATCTCAGCTCACTGCAAGCTCCGCCTCCCGGGTTCACGCCATTCTCCTGCCTCAGCCTCCCGAGTAGCTGGGACTACAGGCACCCGCCACCTCGCCCGGCTAATTTTCTTGTATTTTTAGTAGAGACGGGGTTTCACCGTGTTAGCCAGGATGGTCTCGATCTCCTGACCTCGTGATCCGCCCGTCTCGGCCTCCCAAAGTGCTGGGATTACAGGCTTGAGCCACCGTGCCCGGCCTGGGTTTTTTTTTTTTGTTGTTGTTTGTTTGTTTGTTTTTTGAGACAGAGCCTCCCTCTGTCATTCAGGCTGGAGTGCAGTGGTGTGATCTCGGCTCATTGCAACCTCTGCCTCCCGGGTTCAAGCCATTCTCCTGCCTCAATCTCCCAAGTAGCTGGGATTACAGGCGTGTGCCACCACACCTGGCTAATTTTTTGTAATTTTAGTAGTACAGATGGGGTTTCGCCATGTTGGCCAGGCTGGTGTGGAACTCCTGACCTCAAGTGATCCACCTACCTTGTCCTCCCAAAGTGCTGGGATTACAGACGTGAGCCACCATGCCCAGCCATGGGGTTTTTCTTCACATTCTTTTAGTACTCCTGGGCTGCCGCTACCCTGGACCTGGATTCTAGGACACCAAGACTAAGCTCATCCATGTACTTAAAAGCCAACAGCTCATTGTAATGGAGGTAGATGTATATTTATGTATTAATTCAGTAGACATTTGCTAAAGACTTCCTTTGGACCGTGCACTGAACCAAGTCTGAGAATATTAAGATGAAGATGACAACCTGGGCTTGTAGTCTATAGGGGGAGAGGCAGATTTGTGAGCTTAAGAGTTGTTGCGGATTTTTTTTTTTTTTTTTTTTTGAGACAGAGTCTCACCCTGTCACCCAGGCTGGAGTGCAGTGCCACAATCTTGGCTTACTGCAACCTCTGTCTCCTGGGTTCAAGTGATTCTCCTGCCTCAGCCTCCCGAGATATTTTAACAGGTGTTTCTGTACAGTAAAGAGGAGCAGAAAGAAGAGGATCAAACAGTCAGGAAAGGCTTTGTAAAGGGAGTGGACATTTGATGTCTTAATAAGTAAGTTTTTGCTAGATGGGACAATGGAACAGGCGTCCCAGCAAGAGGGAACATGGTGAGTAAAGGCATGGTGCACTCGGGGGAACCTGGAGACATGTAATACTGCTGGAGCAAAGGTGATGAGTAAACAAGCTGAACAAGCAGGCAGGGCTACGTGCTCGTTGCTGAAGAGTCATCATGCAGGTGCTGAGGGCCAGGCTTTTAGACACAATGATTCTGATATTTTATCCTGTGATATATATATATATATTTTTTTTTTTTTTTTTTTTTTTTTTTTTTTTTTTGAGACGGAGTCTCGCTCTGTCGCCCAGGCTGGAGTGCAGTGGCCGGATCTCAGCTCACTGCAAGCTCCGCCTCCCGGGTTCGGGCCATTCTCCTGTCTCAGCCTCCCGAGTAGCTGGGACTACAGGCGCCCGCCACCTCGCCCGGCTAGTTTTTTTTTTGTATTTTTTAGTAGAGACGGGGTTTCACCGTGTTAGCCAGGATGGTCTCGATCTCCTGACCTAGTGATCCGCCCATCTCGGCCTCCCAAAGTGCTGGGATTACAGGCTTGAGCCACCGCGCCCGGCCTATCCTGTGATATTTTTTAGCCTATGAACCAGTGTCTAGTTCCTGCTTTTTAAAGACCAGATGGGGAGAAAAAAAGTGCTAGATTCTGACAGCATCTCCTTCCCCTGGCCATTAGCAAAGAAGTGGCAGTTGATTGCTTTTTTGTATTTTTCCCTTTGTCTTAAAGATAATAAGTAGACTTGTGTTACGCTTTTCTACTTAGTTGGATTTGGTTTCTGGATCACAAAGCAGCCCTGCAGTGCACAACCAGAAGGGAAACAAGCCTACTAGCTGTTTTTGCTACTGATGCAACCACCAGCAGGGACTTTCTGAGTGGGAGAAAGGAATTATTTTACTGTTCCAGTCTTCTCTTGAGAAAGTCTTAAATGAATAGAAAATACATAGCGACATTTTTATTGTACAGAGAGGCACACTGGTTTCTCAGGATGAAACAAAAAAGTCTGCATGGCTGGGTGTGGTGGCTCACGCCTGTAACGCCAGCACTTTGGGAGGCCGAGGTAGGTGGATCACTTGAGGTCAGGAGTTTGAGACCAGGCTGGCCAACATGGTGAAACCCTGTCTGCACTAAAAATACAAAAATTAGCCAGGCGTGGTGGCGGGCACCTGTAATCTCAGCTACCCAGGAGGCTGAGGCACAAGGATGGCTTGAACCCGGGAGGCAGAGGTTGCAGTGAGCTGAGATCGTGCTACTGCACTCCAGCATGGTCAACAGAGCAAGACTGAGTCTCAAAAGAAAAAAAAATCTGCATGTGGGTTTGGGGACTGTGCCTTGCCTGTTTTCTTCTAATGCTTTTACTTTTTTTTGAGATGGAGTATCACTCTGTTGCCCAGGCTGGAGTGCAGTGGTGCAACCTGGGCTCACTGCAACCTCCGCCTCCCGGGTTCAAGCAATTCTCCTTTCTCAGCCTCCTGAGTAGCTGGGATTACAGGCGGCCGCCACCACGCCTGGCTAATTTTTTGCATTTTTAGTAGAGACAGGGTTTCATCATGTTGGCCAGGCTGGTTTCGAACTCCTGGCCTCAAGTGATCCACCCTCCTTGGCCTCCCAAAGTGCTGGGAT